ATGGCCTTGAGTCCTGACCGAGGCCCCTGTGGATTGCAGCTGTTCGAGAGGGAGCCAGTCAAGAGGCTGGGAGTGACAGGAAACATCAGACTTCATCCCTTTTTCAAGACTATCAACTGGGTCCTGCTGGAGAAGAGGAAGGTGGAGCCACCCTTCAAGCCCAAAGTGGTATGACACCCACCCCTGTTCCAAGCCTGGTCCCACCCTGCCCTGCCCCTTTCCTGCAACATTCCCACACTTGCCCCTTTTCCTTTCCCAACAAACCGGCTTCCTGTTCTCCCCTGGCATGCTGTACCAAGCCTGTGCTCTCGCGTTCTCATAATCTCCCCAGTCCGACTCCAGCAGTCATTCCACATTTGGAACCGTGGACTCAGGGTCGTGACCTGGAGAATATGGCTCAGTGGTAGAGCACTTAACCTAGGTTTGATCCTCGGCACCACCAGATAAGAGGCAGGCCTGATAGAGCATGCCTCTAATCCCAGTACTTGGAAGGCAGAAGCAGGAGAGCAACCACAAGTCTGAGGCCAGCCCAGTCTTCATAGTTTCTTCTCAGCTGGCCAGGACTGTGCAGCGGAACCCTGTTTCAGAACAGCAACAAAGAAGTCGTGTAGTGGTGGCAGTAGTGGTGTTGGCGGTGAGGCTCCTGGTGCTGAGGCAGAGATCATTGTAAGCCCAGGTCAGCCGGGGATGCATAACGCAATCTTATCCAAGAGGCCAGGAACCAGGAGACAGAACCTTACTGTATTGTTCAGTCTGACTCAGAATCCTGCACTTAAGCTGGCCTCTTGCAGGTGCACACCACCATAAGCCAGCCACCATGTAACTAAACTCTTCAATACATTGTGCTTTGGAAACCATGTCTTGGCCACCAGAGTTAGGGTTTCACCTCCATCCATCTACTCATGAATCACATCCATTTTCCAATTGATATTGGACGTGCTGAGTCCTTGTTGGAGCAGAATGCTGTGCTGGACTTTGGTGAAGTAAGAAAACACCCTAGTGCTGGAGGATCCCAGACGAGGCATTTGCACACTGGTGACAGTCTGATAGAAGACAACCGTACTGGAGATGTCACAGGGCACACATCTATGGGTTGCTTTGGGGGAGGGTATATCAGTAGGAGCCTGGGATGCAGGGAGCAGAGTGGTCTGAAAGACTGCTTGGAAGAACTGCTATGTGTTGGTAGGGCTTGGGATGTCTTCAGACCAGACAAAGGGCAGCTAGAGGGCATTCCTGGTAGTGAGCCATGATTCCGTCAAGGTCCCAGATCCTCAGAGGCCACTGGACTGGTTGGAATACGGAGCTGATAACACCTCTGGGAAGTTGGAACTTGCTGGTTGTGATGATGTACATGTGTGATCCTAACACTCAGGCGGACACAGGAGGTTCTCAACTTGAAGCCAGAATACACAGTATGGTCCTGTCTTTTAAAAGAGAAGTTAGGGCACGGTATCCCTTTGTGATCACAGCGTCTTCTGCCTGCCTTTCTCTCGCTTGCTCTGTCCTCTTCTGGGACACACCGTTCCCACTGGGCAGTCTCTGTGACATGCCCCACATTTGTGCTTTGAAGCAGCAGGCCACTTCCTGTGTGGATCTTATATAAATATAAGATCCTGTGTATATCTTATATTTCCTTTTGTGGATCTTGTATTCAGAGGCTCCTGGAGCAGGGTGACAAGCTGTCCCAGCTGTAAGAGCAACACATAACTCTTGCTACAGAGAGAAGTTTCTTCTTGCACACACTAGTCAGGTGTGATGCCCCACTGGGGGCAGTGCAGGCATGTGAGCAAGGCAGTGGGCTCTCAGCCCCAAGAATGGGCCTAATAGGAATTGAGCCCAAGGGCTCCAGTGTAGCTAGCTCAGTGGTAGAGTGCTCACCTAGCATGTCAATGTCCTCCCCAAATAAAGGTAAAATAAAAAACTAAAGCCAGGCATGGTAGCACATAACTGTAATCCCAGCCCTTAGGGGGTGGAGGCAGAAAAATCATGGGTTCACCACCCAGCAAGGCCTGACATCTCTGAGCCTGTTTTCCTGCAAATAAAAGAGTAGCCTTTCTCTTTATGGTGTAGGGTAAGATGAAAAAAGGAAGTGAACCCAGGGCCTAATCTACCAGTTTTCAGAAGAAGCCAGAAATCTAAATTTCCCTGTTAAAAATATTGTTTCGGAGTCTTCAAAGCCTAGCATCGAGGGCTAGGAATGCAGCTCAATCGTGACGCTACATGCACACGAGGCCTTGAATGTGATTTCCAACAATTTGCCAAACAAAACCAGTACTAGCTAAATGCTTGTGCCTTCTAGCTCAGTTTGGCCCGAGGGTCACCAGCGACCTATCTCATCCAGTGCTTTGGGGTAGTGAATTAGGAACTTTTCTTATAAACAGCCAGAGAATAAATATTTGGAGCTTTGCTGGCCAGGCAGTCCCAGTGCAGCCATACTCCATGTGTCGACAAGTGTGGCTGAATAAAACTTGATTTGTGGGCACAGAAATTTGCATTTGACTTCATTTTCATGTGACATTGGATATCCTTTTAATTTTTTTCCTAACCATTTAAAATCATAGAGGCTAGAGCTGGGAGTGGGGGTGCTTGGTGATGATGCCAGCACTTGGGAGGCTGAGGCAGGAGGATCATGAATTTGTAGGCAGCCTGGGCTACACGAGACTTTGTTTCAAAAACACCAAAACCAAAACCAACTAAACAAAAATAGCAAAAGCTATTCTTAGCTTATAGGCCCCTTTAAAAACAGAGCAGGAGACATGTGGCCCACAGGCTGAGTTCACCGGCCCCTGTCCTGGAGGGTGCCCCCTGTCCTTGCTAACCCCGTGCTCCCCTCCAGCCTTCTTCCTCCCTTGGGGAATTAGCAATACACTAATTGGTATTAGTATGGTATTACTGAGGGCAGTATGGTGGGACTGCCCTCAGGCGACCAGTGATACTCTCTTTCCTGATTGAGTAGACTGCCCTGGCTTCCCCGACCAGGACCCCAGAGGCCTGGGTGACTGTTGTGCCTGTGAGGGCAGACCTTGGAGATACCCTGGCGGTCACCTCACCCTCTGCTGCCTTCTACTCACAGAAATCCCCCGCAGACTACAGCAACTTTGACCAAGAGTTCCTGAGTGAAAAACCCCGCCTCTCCTACAGTGACAAGAACCTCATCGACTCCATGGACCAGGCAGCCTTCCATGGCTTCTCCTTCGTAAACCCCAAGTTTGAGCAACTCCTGGACAAGTGAGCTCCCAGACCTGCTTTACACACCAGTAGAGCAGGCCAGTCTGCCCTGGTTCTGCATCCGCATGCCCGTGGACAGCCGCGGGTGGTTGGGTGTTTGCTGCTGCTGCCTCCTCACCCTCAGAGGGTTCGGCTCTTGTTGCCTGGGCTCCCAGTACTCCCTCTGTGAACTGTTTGTGAATTTGCTTTCCCTTTGCCGTCCAAGGGAAACTGTAAATCCTGTGTTTCATTACTTGAATGTAGTTATTGAAATATATATTATATATATGCACATATATATAATAAGCTGTATATATTGCTTAGTATAGAAAGCATGTAGGAGACTGGTAATGTGTTGACTTTTTTAAAAAAAAATAAAAAGCATGTATGTGTAAGTATATGTTTATATACATACTTATACATATATATGTATGTGTATATATATGTGACCAAAAGAAAAAGCACAAGCTGTCTGAACCACAAGGTTCTTTTATGTGTATCTAAATAAACACTGAATGGTACCAACCTGGCTGTGGGGACATTTATGTCCCAGGAAGCTGGTGGCAGGTGCTCCTGTCACTTCTAACTGCAGTCACAGACCCGAATCTTCATGCAAATGTGTTTGTATTTAGGGCTTTCCTTATTCTTGAGGGCCCTGAGACTGCAGGAGCCCCAGATGTCTCTGTGGGGTGATGGTAGGAGGTGAGACTGGACCGAGAGGGTCAGCCCAGAAGTTGAGAGAAGCGGAAATCCAGGTCTGAAAACTGGAGCCCAGGCTCTGAGTTGGGAGTCTCAGGGCTGGAGTACTAAAGCGTGCATAGGACTCTGGGTTCCATCTGGTGCTCCATCACTGCACGCACACACACCGTTGGTAGAGTACTTGCAAACATGGATGAAGCCTCATCCGCAGCAGTGTATAAACCCAACCTTTGTGGTGGTGGTGGGGGAGCAGGAAGATCAGGACTTTGGGTTCGTTCTCAACCACACAGTGAGTTTCAAGGCTAGTCTGGGCTATAAGAAACCCTGTCTCAAAAATAATAATTTTAAAAAGATTTAGAGGCTGCCCCCTGATTAGGCAGGAAGACAAATAAAGGAAAAAGCTTTTAAGTATATCTGGATTCAAATCCCAAAGTAGCTGTTCAGCAAAGGTCATGACCCTTCATTGTTTTAAGCCTCAATTTCTTTATCTGTGAAATGGGATCAGGGCAAGGAGGGAACAACTGTACCTGCACGTCTTTTTTTGAGACAGGGTCTCTCTCTGTAGTCCTGACTGTCCTCAAGCTTGCTATGTAGACCAGGCTGACCTCGAACTCACAGAGATCCACCTGCCTCTGCCTCCTGAGTGCTGCAATTAAAGGTGTGCGCCATGTGCCTAATTGTAACCGCACATTGTATTATTGCTTCTCTTCTTTGGGAGATGAGTCAGCCTCTAAATTCTAGAATGATTCCACAAGAGTCCTTGCCTACCTGGAGGAGGGGAGGGAAATGCCTGGATGGGGTGGCTGTGAGGCTTGCTCCAGTCTGCTGGGAGCACAGACTGCATTGTCAGGAAGCCTGGGTGCTGCCTGCGAACCAGCCTGACCTTGCTGTGCAGGGGCCCTGCCTGGGCTCTCTTCACCACCCCCTGTGCCTCCCATTCTAAAGCTACCAGTTTGTCCCTACCTCCCTTCCTGCCTGCCGCCTGGGGCACAGGTCTCAGACAGGGCCCTCCCTTGGGCCCCTCTGGTCCAGTCCCTGGGGGCCAGCTGGCTCTTTGTCCTGGAGGTGGCTGAGGCAGTCCTAGTGTCTGATTGGCTCGTCCAGTAGCATGCTGCTGACTGCCAGCAGTTCATTCTTCTGGGCTGAGGTACAAGTTTCCACAGCCTGGGAAGGCAGGATGGACTGGAACTGACCCAGGGAGAGGGCTGTAGGGTTGGAAGTGTTGTTCCGTCCTCTCTCTCAGGAAACACTCCTGTCTCCCACTGTACCTGCCTGGGCCAGCCAGGACACAGGGAGCAGTGACAGTCATTCTCCTTTGGCTCACAGACAATGTGACACGGGCTGTGATGGAGAACACGGGGATAACGAAAGCCTAGAGTCGGTGCTGAGGGTCCCAGTCTCCTGCCGCCGCTACAACATGTAAAGGCCTCCAGAACCTCCACGGGGCTGTGGGCAATGACTGTAGCCCAGGACTGGTGGCGTTTATGTTTAGGGCCACCCGCCATCCTGCAGCTCCAAGTCAGATTTTTGTTCACAGAGTTGCATGCAAAGATGGGGTTCCTCCTCTGAAAGGAGGGGCTGAGTGGTTTATCAGCGTCAGGCATTGAGGAGAGGCTGGAACACAGTATATAGAAACCAAGGCTGAGGTTTGAGTTTCGCTGTGCTACCCACACACTGGTTCATTCTTGCCAGTCCTGGTCTCCTCACCTGTGGAAGGGAACCACCAATCTGGTGGAGCAGCCGGCTCGAGAGCCTTCATCCGGGGCCAGTGACTGGTGGTACAGTCTAGGTGGGAACCTTCCTCAGGAAGCCTGATTCCCTGTGGGAAGTGGTTCTCGGGGATGCTGTCACTGCCTGATTACCTGGAAGGGCACATATTTCTAGACCTGTTCCCAGCTTTTGAGTAGGTGTCAGGTCTGGCCTATGGCCTAAGGAAAATAACTTCTCATGCTAGACCCAAAGCCACTTTTCCTGGCATCTAGGGGCCTGGAAGAAGGCAGGTTGCCCTTTTCCTTGCCAAACGGGTGGGCAAGCAGCAGGAAACTCCATCCTCAGTGTAAAGGACAGAGCAAGTACCCCACTTGGTGTGGGACAGACGAACAGAACGCTCCGGAGCGTGGGGACAAGAGTACAGACTCCAAAGTCAAATTGTCCTGGTTTCAGTACTGTGGATCCCAGCGACCTCAGCAGGTGACTTAGTCTGCCAGAGCCCCCACTTTGATTTCTCCACTGGAGAAAGGGACTGGTCATGATATTGCTGTTGACCGTGATGACACAATGGTGCCTTGTATTGCATAGACTCAGCTTAGTGACCGTCAGTCACTGTGCCCTGCCCTTTTACCCCACCCTGGACTCCCAGGGGTGTCTGACTAGACTGTAGGTAGTCACTCAGTGCTCCCCCTTCAGACAGGGGTGCTCAAGAGCCCTAGGTCCAGACGTACTAGGATGCCACTTCTGCATGTGTTACCCAGAGGAAACCAGAAGTCAGCAGAACTCTGGGCATTTGGGGAACTGTTTAAATATTTTTCTGACAGGTGCAGGGCCAAGAGGTTGCAAAAAGGGCTCAGTAGAAAACTAGTGTTTCGATGGGGTTCTTCCACCTTACTGCTTCCATGTGCCTGCTTTAAAATATATTTTATTTTTAGCCAGACGTGGTAACCCTTTAACTCTGGTTCAAGTGGTGCCTTTAACTCTGAGTTCAAGGCTAGCCTTGCCTACAAAATGAGTTTTGGGGCAGCCAGAGCTGTTACATAGAGAAACTGTCTCAAAACAACAAATACTGTTTTCAAGTGTGTGTGTGTGTGTGTGTGTGTGTGTGTGTGTGTGCGTGTGCACACGTGTGTGTACACACATGGGTGTGTTAAGTGTAGGTACCCTCAGAGGCCAGGGGAGTCAGATCCTGTGGGTGGGGCTAGAATTGCAGGGAGTTGTGAGCCACTTATTTCAGGTGATGGAAATCAGACTTGGGTCCTCTGAACTAATGAGCCATCTTTCCAGCCCTAGATATAGCTGTGTTTGCGGGTACTGGCATCTCAGGGTACAGGACAGAGCTATGGAAAAGAAAGATACCCAGGTGAGTGGATGAGTGTGTCGATGGAAGGATGGATGGATGGATGGATGGATGGACAGATGGACAGGAGGACCAGCTGGACCACCTGGAATTCCAGTGTCTATCAGCAGTGCACAGTGATGAGGGGTACAGTCTCCATGCCAAGTTCTGAGCGGGGGGCTCAGTCCTGGCTGAATCGTGGCACCCAGTGCCCAGGTTGGTCAGCTTGAAGGAGGCCCAGACATCACATTTTGAAAGCTTTCCTGATATTTATGTGCCTCAGGGTGGAGAGCCAGTTAGGCAAGGTGAGAATCTGCATGTTTCCTACATTTCCCATATTTCCACGCCTTGGAAATCGAGGTCACCTTCCAGCATCGGCAAGCTAGCCCTTGTGTGGAGGAGGCTCCGCTCTATGGCCTCTGGAGCACTGCCCAGTGTCTAGGACTGCAGTCAGAAAAATTGGTGGGTCTGTGAAGTGGCCAGGGCTGCATTGCCTACTGCCTGCCTGGGCTACATCGCCCCCTAGTGGAGGCCATCTAGCAGGCGTTGCAGGGAGCGTGATGAACACTTCCTCACTTTGTTAGTCTCTAGCTGCTGGAGACCCGGAGGTATGGAGGTAATACCCCTTCTTCCATAAACAGTGACCTTTTTGTCCCAGAGAATGGTATCCATCCTAAAGTGGTAGCCGCTTTCCCCAACACATCCTTGTTGATGTATGAACAGCTGATACACTAGGGAGGGCCACATCTCCAACAGGTTCTACTAAGAGGAGCTAGTAGAATTTGCCAGGGTGGGAAGGGCTCAGAGGGCTCCAGGACTTCCCATGGCTGTCTTACCTTAGCAGGACGGTCCTCTACAGCTCTCCCAGGCACCTGCTTCCACTTTAGAGCCATCAAAGCTGAATGGGACCTCTGGATCCCTCTGCCCGTGACTGTACCTTGGGTGGCTGCTTATGGGAGACCAGAGGCTGGATGGCTGGGTCTGGTCTTCTGAATTCTGACCACCAACCAAAGAGGTAGGACATCACATGCAAGATCTGGAAACAAGGGGATCAAGGACAAAGAGTCACCATGACCCAGATGGCATCGGGCTTCTGAGGTCTGGACTTCAGCCCTCCACAGCTGTAGCCTCTGAGATTCCAGTCTTTGAAACATAACGTCTGTTCCTAAATCAGGCTTTTTAGTGGGTCTTAGAAGACCCACGGTTTCCTCCCTCTGCCTGTGTTAAATACATACTCAGCCCTGACATTTGCTGCTCAGCCCACGTTAAGCACTACACAAAGGCCAAAGCCCTGCGGGAAAGAACTCTTCTCTTCCGAAATGCCTGCTGGAGTCTGCCTTTCCTCTGATTTCACTTGGATAGTGGGCACATGTGCTGTGGGCGGTGATGGTGTGTGCACTGTGTGCCTGAGTTCTTATCTTCCCTGGTAGGAGCGGGTGCCTGCCGTGTGCCAGGACCTCGACAGGTGTCTCTCAGAGCCTTCACTCAGCAGATGTGAATGAACATGCTTGGCATGCGCTGTGCGTGGCCCACAGGCTCCTGACAATGACACTATGTGAAGCACTGTTCTGACTTCTTCCCTGCACCATGGCCTGTAATTAATCTTCACAGCAGCCCCTGAGGAGATGGGTGTTAAGCCCCACAGTTCACCAATGAGTCAGCAGAGGGTCTGAAGAGCGAAGGATTTGCCCCATAGCTCTGGGAGGCTCCTTGGAGTCTGTGAGTTAGTTCCCTGGTCATGCTTTCTTTGGCAATGAGCATAATTGCTCACAGGCCACTGGGTTTGCTCAACACTAGTCAGGGGGAGAATGGGAAGATGCCCCTCCCTGGACCACAGAGGCCTCAAGAGGAGAGAACATGAGCAGGAACCGGAGAGGGTAGCCACGAGGGGACATAGTCAGCTATGAGGGGACATAGTCAGCTACGAGGGGACATAGTCAGCTACGAGGGGACATAGTCAGCCACGAGGGGACATAGTCAGCTACGAGGGGACATAGTCAGCCACGAGGGGACATAGTCAGCTACGAGGGGACATAGTCAACTACGAGGGGACATAGTCAGCTTGGCTTGGCCCTGAAAAGCCCTTGAAGTTTATAGATCCCCAGTGGATACCTTTGTGGATTCACAGTTTGGTAATGAGCCAAAGGGGAAATGGGTGGTGTTGGACCAGGTTTTCACAAGTAAATCACGGGGAAACTTTCAAAAGGGACGGTCAGCTATGTCCCCAAGATACTACCTCCTGTAGGTCAGAAGCCTGGCTCCTCTCTGTGTTCTGCAGATTCCCAGACAGCACGGTGAGCCTAGATCACAGCTAGAGGTCAGATAATGTGTTCAGATGAGTTTGGATGAGCGAGTGTGAGCACACGGCAAAAGAGAACTTTTCACCTAGGCACGGCCCTGCCCTCACTCGGCTCTCTCCCCTTACTGTGCTAGAAGGAGGCCCCTGGAGGAAGGGGAGCTGATCTTCAGTCCTGCCTGGGATGTTACAGTGGCCAGCAGAGGCGTGGAAACTGACTCAGGGCTGAGGCAGCCACAGGAGGCCCCAGTTTAGCAGACACCTGCCAGCAACAGCGCAGCAAGGCTTTTCTAAGCCGCTTCCTGGCCTTGAAGTCCTAGGTTCAGAAATAAGCCAAGCAGACACACTCTGCCTCAATAGTGAGTCAAAAACAATATATTTCACAAAATAGGTTTTGTTAGCTTAATTGTTCTTGAATATCCTGTTTGGAAACAAGGTTTTATGCTTCAAATGTTTAAGGGATTTTTTTTTTTAAAAAACTCTGGCTCAGGTATATTAATAGCTCAGTAGTAAAGGCCCTGTTGATAATGGACCCATACTCAACCTCCACTGACATGTCTAGGAATTAGCATTGCTGGTGGTCAAATTGTAGAGCATAGGCTTAGAGTGGAATCTGGGTCTATACCGGCTTGCTCCATTCCAGCGTCAGACCCTAGCCCATTCCTTGTTACTGCTGCTGTTTGAGTCTTAGGCAGTCTCCAAAGGCTCCTGAGGAGTTTTGTTTCTTTCAAAGCTATGTTTATTTGTTTAATTGTATGTGCATGTGCACACATTCACATTAGTGTGTCATGGCATGTCTATGGACATGAGGATACAACTTACGGGGGTTGGTTCTCTCTTTCTACCATTTGGGTTCCAAGGATAGAAGTCAGGTCATCAGTCTTGGTAGCAAGTACCCTTACTTGCCATCTCGCAGGCCCTACTTCTTTCTTTTTAATGTCTATTTTATTACTCTCTCTCTCTCTCTCTCTCTCTCTCTCTCTCTCTCTCTCTCTGTGTGTGTGTGTGTGTGTGTGTGTGCATGCACATATATGCCTATGGAGGTCAGAAGTGTGCACTGGATCCCCTTGAGCTGCAGTTACAGGCACTTGTGAACTGTCTGATATGGATGCAGGGAAATGAACTCAGTCCTCTACAGGAGTAGCAAGCACCTTTAACCTCTGAGGTATCTTTCCAGCTCTTTTTCCTCCTCCTCTCCCTCTTCCTTCTTCAAGACAGTCAAAGGCTGTCTCATGCAACCCAGGTTGGCCTCAAACTCAGAATCCTCATGACTCCCCTCCCAAATGCTGGGCTAGCAGGTATAATACACACACCACTGTGCCTAGTTCCGGCTGCTCAAGGAACTTGGCTCCAGACTGTGGAGTTAGAGGAAGGTTGTGGGATCTTTAGAGATAGTCTTAGTAAAAGCACACGAGATCACCGAATACGTGTTCTTGAAAGGGCTAGTAGGACCCACCCCTATTTCTGTTTTCAGTCACCAGGAAATGAACAGACCACCTACCCCAAGCACTCCCGCCACGAGGTACAGTGACATCACAGACCCAGGGCAAAAAAGTCTCTCGGATCCTCGATGTCCTCATAGATATTGTGTACACAATAGTGCCCACCATATGGGGGCATTAACAGATACTACAGAGAACTCTGCTTGAGACCCAGTATGTGTCCCGGAAACCTTAGGTGGGTCTTATTCTTTCCTTCCTTCCTTCCTTCTTTCTTTTTCTTTCTTTCTTTCTTTCTTTCTTTTTTTTTTTTTTTTTGAGACAGGATTTCTCTGTGGGCCCAGATATCCTGGAACTTGCTCGGTAGACCAGGTAGACTCAAAACACCTGCCTCTGCCTCCCACGTGCTGGGATTAAAGGCATGTGCCACACACCACCCAACTTGCTTTATCCTAAACTCTGTGAGCATTTTCAATGTTTTCAAATGTGTTTCTAGCTAAATATGCATAAGCGTAAGGTGTGGGTAGGCTTAGTAGTGCCAGGAATCCTACAAGGTGGGGGGAGCACATTCCAGGCACAACAATAGGTTAAGGAGCCCTGGATTGGGAGTCAGGAGTCTACAGCAGAGTCCTTCATCTTGCCACCCCCCTCTCCCCCACACCCGTGAATTTGGAGTCATCAGCCAGTTCAACAGTAGAAAGATAAGTGCCTGAGGCTTATAGGAATGGCAAACAGATCCCATGCGGCTTTAGATTATGAGAAAGAAAATTTGAATGTCAAACGACCCAGTTCTTGGCACAATTTAAAATAAACTGATATGAACGGTGGTAGTTCCCACTGTCACAAAACTATATGAACGGTGGTAGTTCCCACTGTCACTAAACTCCACTGCAAGTGGCAGGGGCAGTAAGAGCCAGAGATGCCTGCGGTGTGGCTCCTTCTCTGCCTTGGTTTGGTCTCATGACCAACACAAACTCTTGTCCCTTTACTCTCAGGACTTTCTTTCTGCTTCTGTTCAAGAGCAGCACTGCTGGGCAGTCAGGAGGCCTCCAGATTCCCGGCTTAGAGCATCCAGGCCCTGGAGACACAGCTCGCTACAGTGTTCCAGGCCTGGAGACAGGTCGCTACAGTGTTCCAGGCCTGGAGACACAGCTCGCTACAGTGTTCCAGGCCTGGAGGCACAGGTCGCTACAGTGTTTCTTGAGTATGTTTCTAAAGGCAGATCCTGCACTAGAGGATTCCCTGGAGCAGGAGGGGTCATGACCCTGAATTCTTGAGCAATTAGTAAGCACTAACTGTGTGTGAGGGAAATGGGCAGATAAGGAGCAGGCCTGGAGGTCTTGGGAAGACAGGGTTTTGTGAGCATGAAGATGTGATAGCTTGGGGCTGGAGAGATGGCTCAGAGATTAAGAGCACTGACTGCTCTTCCAGAGGTCCTGAGTTCAATTCCCAGCACATGGTGGCTCACAGCCATTTATAATGAGATCCGGTGCCCTCTTCTGGGATGCAAGCATACATGGAAGGAATGTTGTATACATAATAAATAAAAATCTAAAAAAAAAAAAAAGATGTGCTAGCTTTTCTTGAATGGGCACCAGCAACCAAGGAATGTTCCCTGGAAAAGGGTACAGCTTATTCCTGATACCCCCAAATAAGTAAGTCCCACAGTAGGATATGTTTTTAAGTCGTGATAACACCAAGTGCTGGTGGGATGCAAAACACTGGGTCCCTGCTGGCAGCAGTGGGAATAGAAACTGGCCTCCTTTCCCACTGAAAGCAGTTTGGCACCAGTGCTGTAGCCCCCCAGTGACTCCATTTAGAGACAGTTTGGTGGAGGCCTAGAGCGCCTCACAGGCAAGAAACACTTGGGGCCAAATGTGTGTGAGGAAGCAATTAGAAATGACTGGACCATCCACAGAAGATCCTAGAACAAGGAACACAGTGCATTCCCTATACAATACTGGTTCTTTCTATTTTGAGATCCAAGGACCAAGCCTCCTGTTTCAATTCCACTAACATTCCCAACTTCTATGAAAGGAGTGGTTCGTACCTGTAATCCAGGCACTGTGGGCCTCAGCCAGCTTGTACTACATGGTGAAACCATGTGACCCAAACCTAACCTCCTCCAAAACACTTTATTTTATTATTTATTTATTTTGGCTTTTTTGAGGCAAGGTTTCTCTGTAGCTTTGGGACCTGTCCTGGAACTAGTTCATGTAGACAAAGCTGGCCTCAAACTCACAGATATCCTCCTGCCTCTGCCTCCCAAGTACTAGAATTAAAGGCGTGCGCCACCACTGCCCAGCTTCCAAAACATTTTAAAAAGGGGTACAGGGAATGAACAGGAAATAGAGGTGAACTGTGAAGCCTCTTTACTCCTCTTTCTCTTGTTCCACCTCTTTTTTCTAGAAGGATATCATTCAGTAGCCCAGGCTGACTTCAAACTCACGAGCCTACTGCCTCAGCCTCCTGCATGCTGGGACTGCAGGTGCATGCCACTCCTTGTGACT